CTTCCTGCAGAGAGACTGGCCCGATGAGAACAGTGATCAGTATTACCCATCCCTGCCTGTCTTCCTAAAGGGAGCCATGGAGAAATCCCTCAGAAGTGAAAATGGCCACCTGGACCTGTTTGTCCGCTTCCTCCACGGCCTCTCTCTGGAGTCCAACCAGAGACTGTTAGGAGGCCTGCTGGGTCACACAGACAACCGTCCAGAAATCATCCAGAGACTCTTCAAAGGCCTGCTGGGTCGCACAGACATCCAGAGAGCCATCAGCAACCTGAAGGAGATGAGAAGTGATGAAATCTCTCCTGACAGGAGCATCAACATCTTCCACTGTCTGACAGAGATGAAGGACCACTCAGTACATCAGGAGATCACAGAGTTCCTGAAGTCAGAGAACAGATCAAAGAAGGAACTCTCTGTGATCCACTGCTCTGCTCTGGCCTACATGCTGCAGATGTCAGAGGAGGTTCTGGATGAGTTGGACCTGAGTCAGTACAAAACATCAGATGAGGGACGACGGAGACTGATTCCAGCTGTGAGGAACTGCAGGAAGGCCAAGTAAGTCCAGATGTGATTAACTTTATAAACTAATGTGGATCAGAAGTTTAATTATTCAAATAAACACTATAACATTTCTGCTGTTTAAATACTGAGAGCAAAATAAACCAACACTGTTCTTCTATTTATTTATAATAATAGTTAAACTGAAGCGTTCCTCTCTTCATATTGAGTGATGGAGGCGACATGTCAAACACATGAAGGACTCTAGAGGTTTCTCAGCATGTGATCACACCACACAGCAGGACTTACAGTTATCAGTTATTATTACTTTCTAGTAGTTTCTTTATCATTAAACACACACACGTTTTTATCACAATGTGTTAGAGTTTAAAATAAGATCTATATCATATCCCACCAATACCAGAGTTATGTCTTAATGCTCATATAGTGAGAACATCTGATGGTATTCAGGTTAAAATATTGAAACTTTATTGGTTTGTTAACTGTGTTTGTGTGCACAATACATTTCCAGATGCTCAGAGAAACCAAAACATCCATCATTCACATCTCAATATTAATTCACATTTAAATATGTACTTCTCTAATATTGTCAAGTGATTTATTTAATTTCTGTTTCTATGGTAACAGTCAGTGACAGCAGGAGCACAGACCTGTGATCAGATCACACTGACAACACATTACACTCTATTATCATATATTATTAAAATGGACTAACAGCAAATCTCAATCAGAACATTTGTCAAATATGTTTTTCATCAAATGCTTGAGGTCATTATGTTTCCTCTTTTTTAACACATGTTGTAATTTATGTGTTATTATAGACTTGCTCGCTGTGGACTCTCAGAGACTCACTGGGAAGTTGTGGCCTCAGCTCTGAAGTCTGAGCCCTCCCATCTGAGAGATCTGGACCTGAGTCTCAACCCTCTGCAGGATTCAGAAGTGGAGCTGCTGATTTCTGGACTAAAGAGTCCAAACTGCAGACTGGAGGCTCTCAGGTCAGTTCACTGACTGAACTTCATCTGTTTGTGTTTATTTTTCCACTTTTGCTAATGACTGAATATTGATCAGAGTAACAAAGAGAAGGTGAATGTGTGAGGGAGAGTGTTTGAGCTTCCACAGACTCACTCTGTGCTCCAGGAGTCAGTGGAGATGCTGTCAGTACTGATGAGCTGTGAGGGAGATGAAGGAGTTGTTAAACATCTGATCAAAGTTAAAGTTCCAGATTATCAATGGATTGTTTCTACATCATCTCTGAGATTAAAGGTCTCCTATCATGCAAAAGTCACTTTCTGATGTCTTTTCTACATCATTATGTGTCCCCGGTGTGTCCCTATGTGTCCCCGGTGTGTCCCGGTGTGTCCCCGGTGTGTCCCCGGTGTGTCCCCGGTGTCAGGAGACTCACCAGGTGTCAGGAAACAAAACCCTCTCTCTTTTCCTCCGTACCCACATCCATGGATGTATAATAAGAACTGGATACAGCGTGGGAGGCGGGGCCTCATTCATTCCTATGAGAGTTGCTCATTCGCGCATGATGATAAAATGGCCCAACTTTTGAGAGAGCGAAACGTCACAGATTACCCGGCATGCCTGAGAAGTACCCGTATGTGCGCTCATAGCGCATGCGCAACTTTAACCATGCCCCCCCAAAATGCTCGTTCACATCAAGCACGTCAATTTGCGTACACGTAACAGCAGTTCATGACAGCATGGTAATGTTTGTTATGATAGATTTGATATTAACGAGGCGGCAGTTAGCAGCTAGCGGTTAGCTAGTAATTATGCTAATTTACACATCAATCGTTATGTACTTTTATATTACGCTGTAACAGGATCTAGTGATATCCAAGCAACAGAGCTTCATTTAGCATGAAAGAATTATTGCACTGTATATATATATATATATATATATATATATATATATATATATATATATATATATATATACAGTGCAATAAGCTTCTTAGTGCAATAAGAAGCTACAGGGACGTTAATCTACGTCGGTAATATTAACTTTATTTAATACAACATTTACGGTACAAGATTTAATCATACAGCCCATGTAGTATAATATTTTACAAATGATGAATTACAGCAAACATGTGCAATATATCTATTATTACAGCTCCGTGGGCTGGCAGTAAGGCGATATGGGTCCGTTCTTATTGTGCATCCATGGGTAAAGATAAACGCATGTAGTGCTGAACACGTAACATGAACGTGCCGGGCGGCGCGGTCCCGTGGGTTAGATGCGCGTTCATAATGCAGAGGGAAATAACTCTCAGAATAACGTTATTAGCACATTTTACAACTTGAGGAACGAATGTTTTTAATAAGGGCTATACAAGTGTTCATACTGGGTAGTTTATTTAGTTTAAAAAAAATTATCCAACGATTTACAGACCACTCTTTCCCCATGTAAGTCAATGGGAAAAAGTGTTTCCGGGCCTGGCAACTAAAAGGAAGTGTAGTACCGCCGTTTGGCCACCACGAATATTTTCATCAGAGTCCGGCGCACTTCCTGGGGGCTCCAGATTTGCTGCGTCATGACGGCATTACTAAATTGTGGGCGGGCTTTACACCAACGGGCCAATCAGAAACATTGCTGTCAGAAACAATGAGACGTGTTCTGGAAGTAATATGGTCTGTGTTTACATTAGCATGCTAACACTCAGAGCTAACCTGTACTGGAGAGCATGTGTGAAGAAGCAGGAAATAAGAAGGAACTCACCTTGTGGTAAACCTGAGAGAGAGAAAGAGTTTGAGCTCCATGCTGTTTCAGAGAGAATCCTTGATGTGGTTTGGAACATGATATGGAGTTTAATCACGGCAGCATTTAGCTGAGTTTCTGCTGGTAGAATTCTGATCAGGCATTAGCACCACCTCCTTTTTTCTGTTGTTCAAGCTAAGGACCCGAACCTGCTCTTCTCTAACAGCTGGAACAGAGGGATATGTGGGATTTCTAAAATGCATGATCTGTTTGGTATTTTGAGCAAAACACATCATAGACATGTTTTTATATATTTGTGTATATCTGAGACCCATAATATATGCCTAAAAATAGCATGATAGGAGACCTTTAAAACCCTGTTTAACTCTGAACAGATAATTAAACCTGGAGTTATTTCAAACAGGAACTTTGTTTTCTAAAGTTACATCATGTTTTCTTTATTCAGACTGTGGAGCTGCTATTTGTCAGAGATCAGCTGTTCTGCTCTGATCTCAGCTCTGAAGTCCAACATCCATCTGAGAGATCTGGACCTGAGTGGGAACGATCTGAAGGGTTCAGGAGTGGAGCTGCTGAGAGATCTTCTGGAGAGTCCAGACTGCAGACTGGAGACTCTCAGGTCAGTTCACTGACTCTCTGTTACTGCTGGAGATCTCATGTTTCATTAGTTATTCAACCTGATTCTTCTACATAATTAACTTACATCTATAAAGTTGTAAATGTTCTTTTATTCATACTTTCATTTGTAGGTACTAAAGTAAGAACTGCAGAGATAAATGTTGACTGATTCTTAAAGGAACTGTAATAGATGTTAGTTGTGAAAAGTAAATCTATGTTTTTAATATTTAGTAAACGATAACGTCTGAATAAAGTTCATCTGAAGTAATATTAGCTTTACAGGATAAAGTTGACTTTCTGAAGAAGACATGTTTTTGTTCCCATTCATTTCAATGTTGAATAACACATCTGATTATAAACTGATTTGTATCCTCATCATGTTTTCTTTATTCAGACTGTGGTGCTGCAGTTTGTCAGAGATCAGCTGTTCTGCTCTGATCTCAGCTCTGAAGTCCAACATCCATCTGAGAGATCTGGACCTGAGAGAGAACGATCTGCAGGATTCAGAGAAGCTGAGAGATCTTCTGGAGAGTCCAGACTGCAGACTGGAGACTCTCAGGTCAGTAAGGGGTCTCTGCTGGTTCAGCAGTATTGTATGAACCACAGGGAGGTGTTTCTCTCACTGGGGAAACAGATCAGTGATGTTACCCACTGACTGAAGGCTCTTTCATTCTTCCATCAACTATAGAAGGCCAGCTGAACATGCAAAGCCACACTTTAGTAATCAACTCTCTAACAGACATATGGGGTTTTACAGAAGAGTGGGAAAGGTAGTCTGTTCTTATGGGATGCTTTTAGTTTCTAGCCCAGGGGTGTCCAAACTGCGGCCCGGGGGCCAAATGCGGCCCTCGGAATCGGCCCTCAGCAAATTCTGAAAGTATAATGGAATATGGCCCACAAAGGAAACTTCTGCTTGTCTTATATTGTACTTCTTAAATATATATGTACACATATATTACACAGTAGTATTCATGTGTTAATAAGCCCACCTTTAAAATAAATTCAGTCAATTAAAGCTGAAAACATTTTCTAACAAATCTAACTTGATAAGAAAAAAGCCCAATAACTTATTTTTATAACAAGCGTGAAATAAACCCTTCATATTTCCTGTAATTATAATCAATCTGAAGCTCCTGTTTAAAGGAATGAGCTGCTGACAGAATACAGTAAACCCTCTGGAGAGCTGAGAGCTGTTTTGTTTCTTAAAGCATCCTCAAGTAACAAGCATCCTTTACCTTCATCTGATTGAGTTTCCTGACTTATAACTGAACTTATGAGGCAACATACCTCTAGAGAGCGGCCCAGACCTTTATATATTTTTCTGTATGTGGCCCTCGGTGAAAAAGGTTTGGACCCCCCTGTTCTAGACCAATGAGTGGTTACTTCCTGTCATGCAGCTGAGAGCTGTGGCAGGCAGTCGTAGTGTTTGCAGAGAAGATATGATGGGATGTAAAGCATGAGATCAGGACTCTGAAGCTGACTCAAAGAACAAACACTTATTTTAAACTGGATCTTAAACTGTTGGATTGTGTTCATCTCTACAGGATCGGACTAGGAGAGCCGATCAGAGCCACGATCCAGAAGACCTGTGAGTACTGAAACCATATCCTCCATTCATCAAGATAGTAAACTCTTTAATGGAGCGTGACCTCAGAGGAAAACAACACTCTTGTTTCTCTCTTCATCATTCTGGCTGTTTCTCTTTGTTTAATTATCATCATTATTCTCTCTCTCTCTCCTTCTCCTCTCAGGTGACAGGAAGTGAAGACACACAGAAAGGTGAGATGTCGTACCGTGTGAAGTTTATTTATTGAGGTTTCAACACGTTTTTCTGGTGTTCCAGACAAATCTGTAAGCTCAGGTTTTATTTGTTCTCAGTTTATTCATCACGGGGCGAGTTTGAGACGTGAAGAGGAGCGCGGAGGCATTTTGGAAAATAAAGAAGAAGGCTGCAGCTGATGAGAGACTTCCTGTTGGCTCTCCTCAATATGAAATGAACAAAAACAATCAATTGTACTTAAAGCTTTTCTTCAGAAGAGAGATGTGTTGCTCATACACCTGCTGCTACCTACCACCACCTCCCACCCATCCCGGCACCAAAGAGGAGACTCCATCGACCCCAGATACCCCGACTCACTCTTCTTCAGGTTAGCTTGGAGCCCCGCCTTCTCCACCCTGCCTCCGACCTTTCTCCCCTGCCCCAAATGGTCCTGGACTCTCTCTCTCACACACACACACACACACACACACACACACACACACACACACACACACACACACACACACACACACACACACACACACACACACACACACACACACACACACACACACACACACACACACACACACACACACACACACACACACACAACACCACACACACACACACACACACACACACACACACACACACACACACACACACACACACACACACACACACACACACACACACACACATATCCAGCACCAGTCACTTTTCTGCCCATCTCCGCTGCTACTGCACTGAAACTGTACTTTGAACACTTTAAATATATTAACATTTTAAACTGCATACCCCGGATATCTAGGCCCTTTGTTTTGTTTAATGTATACCACGCTTATCTAGGCCCCTTTTGTTTTTTGTATATATGTCACACTGTAGGACTGCGGGAAACGATATTTCGATTTGACTTTGACTTTGATAATAAGAATAATAATAATGCATTTAATTTGTAGAGCACCTTTCATTGCTAAAAGTAATCTCAAAGTGCTACAAGGGGCATCGTATACTTCTTTTTTTTTTTAAAGAAACACAAGTTTAATAAAAGGCTTTATCTTTCACCTATTAGTAGGAGAGGCTGCACTTTGGAAAAGAGGGAAGGGGAAGGCCTTGTAGGCGGAGATAGTGTTTCTTGAGTTCATCCACAGGATCACTCTAGTCCACAAGTGAAAGTCTGTCGGAGTTGAATGTGTCTTTGATGAGGAATGTTTTCTTGGGATTGAAAGAGGGTGATATCTCAAAGGTCACTGAGGCTCCATTTCAGAATAATATATATGATATGTTTTATAATGATTGATCATTAAAGTGTTCTCAAAGCTGGTAAAGGTGCAGCTAGTTTGAATGACTTTGTATACTGCAGGGTAGCTTGTGAATTTACTCCAGGTGGAACTAAAGTCTGATTTAACACTTGGTTATATTTCACATCATTCATCCACATCTGTAAAGTAACTAAAGGGAAATACATGTAGTGGAGTCAAAGTACACCTTTACCTCTGAATTGTAGTGGAGTAGAAGTAGTACACAGTTGCATAAAAAGAAAACTAAGCTTCATCTCCAAGCCCAATGGCCTTGGAAGAGCTGCTAAGGAAAAGGAAAGACATCTGGAGACTTTGGAGAGACAGCTAACGGACAAACTCAAGGAACTGAAAGACACTCCCTAACAGGCCGTATGCTGTTTAGCCTTACCTTGAATGATTCAGTGCAGTGTTCTGTGCAGGTTTTCTGTTTGCTTTTTCAACTCAAGGAGCTCAAAGACTGATTGAAAGTTGATTTGATTTGCATAATTTCTGATTGCTGATTCAATGTGAAGGAAAATTCACATTTGAGTTGATACAGTATATGTGTGCATGATATAATGCCCCCTTTGGCCTAACCTGGGAGAGCCTTATGTTCACTGCCAACCTAAGGACCTCCAACATGTTAATAAAGAATGTATTGAAAAGTTATATGGCTGATTGTTGTATATTGGCTCAGCCAGGTTATATGGGATGCCCAGTCTACTTACAGAGGGGTCACTCATTTTGAAATATTACACTTTGTTTTATTTTCTTTAATTTATCATCCTCATGTAGAATGCTATCACGAAACACACATTTGGTTGTTCATAGCATAAAGAACATCTGATTTAATGTGAGGTAGGGAAATAATCATTTGAGGATAAGTATGTGTATATAAATATGTAATTTACAACCGCTGTAAGATGCTTGAAAAGCTTGAAATGCACCTTGAAAATGCTTGAATTTGATTTGGGAAAAGGTGTAAGAACCCTGAATAGAATGAATTCTGGGGGTTGGAGCTTAGACTTTCCCACTTTCAATTTTAAGGACCACCCTAATGTAAATATTGTCACCCTACGTGAGGCTAAACTTCCAGGTTGATGAGGGAGGGGTAAATGTTGTTGGAATTAGAATAAAATTCACCAGGAGAGTTTTCTTGACTAATAGAATGAATTCCAGTGGTTGGAGCTTAAAATAAATCAATTCGAAAATGTACATGGCACTAAGGACCACCCTAATTTACATATGACAAATACTTTAAACTGCATTTTTAAAGTGGAGAGCTGTGCTGATTTAAAAGAGGTGGTGTGGAGAAGAAATGTGCAGGATTTAAAATCCTTATTTAATTTAAATTACAATTGTGTCTGATAACCAGTTAAATAAATGGACATTACTCACAAATATAACAAAAATAAAGCAAATTCTTTAACAAAGTAAATTGAACTTTGATTAAATGACAGAATCTGAAAACTTGGAATCTGTGAGGATTTGCAGTATCTCCCTCCTTCTTCTCTTCTTTGTTTTATGTTTGTTATGTTCGTTCTGTCTGTCTGTGTGTCTGTCTCCCTGGCTGGGTGTGGCTGACCCACTTCTGATTCCCGCCAACTCACCTCCGCAGCTGCTGCTCATCATCCTGATTACACTACTCACCTTCACCTGCTTATATGCCCGGTTCTCTCATCCAGTATTCACCAGTTCGTCGTTTCACCTCGCTGGTAATTCGACTTGGTACACGTAGTTTATGGTAAAACTAACTCTCTGTGTTCCTGCCAAATCTAACCCTTGTGTTCTCCGTCAGAATCCATCTGCCTACTCCTCTGCCTGCCACATCCAGCCACGTTCCTCTCGTCTGAGTATCTCCGTGCTTCCACGCACACCAGCTCCAACCTGTCAACTATCGCCAGCTCTGGATCCCCGGCTTTCCTCGCCAGTGTACTGTACCTTCGTGCTTCCACGCACACCAGCTCCTTCCTGTCAACTCTCGCCAGCTCTGGTTCCCCGGCTCTCCTCGCCAGAGTATCTCCGTGCATATCTGCACCACCTCAGTTGACAAACCCTGGCTTTGGGTTTATAGGATATTAAATCCCTCGTCTGACTCAATATTAGGTTTTTGGTTAATAAACCTTTTTCTACCTCAAAAGCTCTGTTTCATCGTCCTGTGTTCAGCATTGTGAGTTCACTCCTGTAGCTACCGGTGAGCGTAACAGAATCCAGTCGTTCATATTTCACATTTATTTTATTTTCTCTGCTTCAGAAACGGAGAGCATTTTGGAACGAGTATATTTTAAAGATACTTTTATTTGTTCTTAGTTATATGTTTTCATGCTGGAGTGTTTTGAAGGTACAGCGTGCAGAAGCAGTTTGTGTTCGGAGAGTTTAAGAGACGTTTGGATGTTTCTGTTTGATTATGTTGAGAATGAATCTCTTGCGACCTGTTAAAGAATGACATGCACATATTCAGAGGAAGACCTATTTTGTTATTAAAAACAAAGGGGAACAACTGCATATCCCTCTTTGTGTTGCAGTCTATAAATATCAGAAAATATATTTCCTCTCCTCCCGCTGTGCACATTTCAGACTCATTATTTCTGTTATTTAACTTTATTCTGACCCTCTCCCGTGTGAGTCAGAAGTCAAACGCTGAGGAAGATGTTGACGTGTCTTTGACGTAAACGGTGACACTTGGAGACCCTGAAACGTCATCCCACTTCCTCTTCCTTCTGAGGCAGCTGGTTTAAAGGAACATTAAATACCTGGGTGTCGAAACAAAAAAAGAGAACAATAATTTGCCAAGAACATAAATATTAAATAAGAAACATATTTAAATAAACATTACAAAATAAGATTTACACATGTGGGGGAAACTTCTGAAGCAATTGGAAACAGGACTCCTGCCCCTTTCACACCGGCGCTTTTCCAGCTCCTGCTGGGAGCTAGAGCCTGAAAAGCGCCGGTTTTTCCTGTTCACACCGCAGTGGCGGCGCGTCTTAGCTCCGGAATGCGGTTCACTTCCAGCTCCAAATAATTGTCGGTCCAGAGCAGTGGTTGCGTTAGACATTTTCGTTGTCCGTCATTTTGAGGACAGGATCATAACATTTCCGTCATAATCCATTATTACCCGTCATTTTATTTTTCATGTTTTAATGATGAGACATATTTAATATTTATGTTTGGGTACTAAGCAGCAAATGTTCATTCATTCCTTTTTTCATACAGAACTTTTAAGGGCATGGAGGAAAAAAAAGATGAACAGAAACACCGACCGTGCGGTCACTTTTCATGTCAAAACGAATATGAATGATTTATTTTTCCTTGCCACTTGCTTGTCCCTCTGCTGCTGGCTGAACGTTGTCAGTTTTAGTCTTACTGGCTTGTCCTTCATCCTCCACTGCATCAATCCCTCTTTTTTCACCTCGTTTATCCACACCATCACGATTACTGGGCTTATTAAAAAAGCTTCGGACACTCAGCTGCCGTGACATTTTGCGATTGCTAAAGCCGGTTAAACAACGAGGTAATCAACGAGGTCAAATACAAGACTAGACAATAGCTACTTAATATGCACACACTCGCCACCAACTGGACAGGGGTGTGAATTACTAAATAATAGTTACAGTAGAGTACAGTAGATCGCCCTCAGTCGACCTGGCCACTAAGGATGTAATATAATGTGGGCCGCTGGTGGACATTTTGGCGCTGTTCCGAGTTGTGTTCTAATCTGTCAAAATGACGGACTGCTTTCAGAGTTTTCCGTCAGTCTTGGAAAAATTACGTCATAGACGGAAAATATTCGGTTAACGCGACCTCTGGTCCAGAGGCAAGAGCTTCGGAGCTATGACGCGGCGTCTCTTACGTCGAGGCGTGCAGGAAACCTTACTTTGACCATCCGTTCGCTGTTATTGATCATTGTGGAGAGCAGGCAGACGTTTTGTTTGTTATTATAGCAGCTATCGGATGGAATCAATACATGGGCTGCACAGGTTGTCATGTCCGACTATCACAAGTAGAATCACAATGAAAAATACGCCGGTAAAAAGTGCCTGTAGAAAACGGCTTAGCAAGTAGTCAGTTTAGCTTCGGTTGCTATGCTAACATCACCCATGTTATACCAGAGAAACTTTCATAACAGCGTTGTGATGCCAAACAGCGTCAATTCAGACTGACACACATTCACTTAAGGGGAACTGGGGATAT